TTTCTTAAAATTCTCTTCCGATCAATATGATTTCCAACATTGAATTAAATACTAAAGTGGAGGCTTTATCCCAAGCACAAGTTATTTTACAGAAGGCTATGAATACTAGACGAGATACAATCATACAATTCCAGCATCCATTGATTCACTGAGAGAACTTGTACTCGCTATAGTTTGTGAAACCAAAACAAGTGAAGATTTTAACTTTGTCTCCTCAACTGCTAATCAAAAAATGGTTAAACACAACCCCCTCTAGTTAAACCACAAGTTCTACCACTACAAGTTCCAATTCGACTGAATTGCGTTAAACTGAAGTTATTCAATGTTGATGAGTCCAAAAGTTCTACTTTTATCCATCCCACAACAATTGTTTTTGGCAAGCCAATTGTATAGGGTGTTCCTACAAGATGGAAAACAAGTTTCAAGCGTAATTATTTTAGATGGAGTTGCTACTTTTTCGTCAACATCCTCACCGTCCTTTTATCTAGAACAAAGTGTGAAGGTTATGAAGATTCGAGAATAGATTCCTCCCATTGTGATATCCTATATTATGTCATTGAAGAGAGATCTTACTTCTATGCTATTAGGTTTGACGATGTGTTTCACAATTTGATGTCAATTCTCTTAGAGTATTCTTGCTGCAATAACTCTTTGGAGAAGAGTTTTTTTTAGCCAGGAAGAATTGATAGAGATCAAAAAGGGACTGAATTAGCTTAAATTTAAGAATTGAATTTTATTATTTATTTTAGTATTATTTTATTAGTTAGGAAATATTTGTATGACTAGGAGTAGAATTTGACTAAGAAATTGTTATAGAATTTTAGTAGGATAGGAATTTGAAAGTTTGGTTATGAAACTCTTTCAGTAGAATAGTTTTTATTTTAGTAGGGAATTTGACCAATAAATAATGGTGTAATCCCAATTATTTTTATTAGGGAAAGGGAGATATAATAAAAATTATTTCTCTGTAGAAAATTGTGTATTTCTTGACAATTTTTTTGTGAGAACGAGGTAAATCCTTCCACTTCCTTCTTTATTCTTCTCTTTCTATTTTCCCATGGTTTTTAGCTCTTCCCATCCTACATCAAGCTTCCCTTCAACGCCACTGCCAAAAGCACCCACGACTTCAAAGATTTTTAAGTAATCTTCTTCCTTTTTCATCTTGTATTTTCTTCATTTTCAGCTAATTTTCCATATTTGAGCCTGTCCCGACTTCGCCATCATCACCGACAACAAATTTACGGGCTTTTTTATTTATTTATGCAAAGTTGATAAAAAAATCAGGCACAAACTGAGTTGAGACTTGGGATGAGAGATTTGGGGTCAAGGGCATCGATGGTGGATTGGCTGCAGAGAGATGTGAGTTTATTGAACTAATTTATACCAATTCAGAATTTTTATTCAAATTTGAGTACATTGACTCACCATCGGGTGAAATTTGGTAATTTGGGTACAGAACTCTATACGTCAGTTCACCTCCAAACAATACCCTTCTTTCATCGATGGTAGTCATCAACTCCGATCACAAAACCCGAATCAATGGCAATTCCTAAGTAGCCATTTCTTTGGTAGGGGCCGGCGTGGATCGCATGTTCAGCGTCGTTGGAATCCTAGTCATCTCCCTCGCCAACCACTCCGTCCCCCTTCGAATCTAATTCATCGCCTTACACAATGAGCAATCAATCATATGGGTATGCCGGCCCGACATTCGGGTACCTCACTAGCCGGCAGGGAATCGTCCTCAGCGTCTCTAGCACTACTGCGTCCATGGCCTCGCTGGTCTTTCCAACGCCACCGTTAACTCTTGGCCCATGGTCGTCATCTCTGACTCTTGCAATCAAAAAGACTCTGGCCACGACGATTTTCAAGAGCTCGATCAAATCACATCGGTTAAACCCTTCTCGAGATTTGCCACAGAAACCACTGATATCAAACTTATCTCTAATTGTATTTTCGAAGTTATTCACTAGGCCAAATTGGGCCGACTTGGTGGGTGTTACTTAGACTTACCCTCTGATGTGCTTCATCAAAACTGAATTGGAGGTCAATAAATTGAAAACTGATGCTCAGAAATGTAGAAAGAAATAGGAAGAAGTGACAGGAAGTGTCGGAATATTCAGAGATTGAAAAGGAAGTTTCGATGTTGAGACAAGACAATCGGAGAGGCCGTTGATTGTATTTGGTAAGGGCCTTGCCATTGCTAGAGCAGAGAATGAACTTTAAAAGTTAGTTGAAAGCACTGGAATTCCATTTCTGCGAACTTCAATAGGAAAGGGATTGTTGTCTGATACACATGAGCTAGTTGCAATGGGGGAAAGGTCAATGGCGATTGGGAAATGTGATGTTGCATTAGTGCTTGGTGCAAGGCTGAATTGGTAATTGCATTTTGGGGAACCTCCAAAGTGGTCCAAGGACATGAATTTTTTATTAGTTGATATATGTAAGGAAGAGATTGACTTAAGGAAATCGAGTGTGGGATTTTGTTGGGGATGCGAAAAGGGTTTTGGAATGATTCATAAGGAGATTAATAATGACCTTTTTTGTTTGGGGAAGAATCATACTTGGGTTGAGGCGATAGTGAAGAGGCAAAGGAAAATGTGTCAAGAATGGAGGCACAATTGGCTAAGGATGTTCGACCATTCAATTTTATAACATCGATGAGAATAATTAGGGANGGCGATAGTGAAGAGGCAAAGGAAAATGTGTCAAGAATGGAGGCACAATTGGCTAAGGATGTTCGACCATTCAATTTTATAACATCGATGAGAATAATTAGGGATGCGATTTTGGTGTCTGAGGGGGTGAACACAATCAACGTTGGTCGGGCTGTGTTGATTCACACAAAGCCGAGGAGTAGGTTGGATGTTGGGACTTGGGGGACAATGGGGATGGTCTGGGATATTGCATTACTGTGGCAGTGGCTTCATCTGGTCGGGTTGTGGTTTCTATTTAGGGGACTCTGGATTTGGTTTTAGTGCCATGGAAGTTGAGGTTTGTTCTCTTGCCAAATATTATTGTTCATTTAGTGCTAATTGATAACTGAACACTCGTGGACTTTGCCTTATCTGTTCAATTATGAATGAACATAATGCTGAAGTTGAAGTTGAAAAGTTTATCTTCTAGATGATTTCATATGGATTTAGCTGGAATATTGTGTATTTAGATGAACGGAGAAGCGTGTATTTTTTAATTATACTTGTTTTTTCTGTTCAACTGGTTTTGATTTTGTATAGGCACCTTCTAGCTAGTTTGGGAAATCACAATTATTTTCAAAGGCTTCAATTAAGAACAAACAATATGCAGAATCTAAACATCTTTCCTCTAAGGGATAGCAAATGATATTCTAGTACCTGAAACTCACCAATCCCCGACTTTGCCAGAGGTGGGAGCCTTGTACACAAGACTTTTTAATTCTTATTGCTTGCACAAAAGCATGTTGTGATAGACCACAACTTTGAAAACAGAGAATGCACATTTTATTGTTCAGGGTTTAAGTTGCTTGTATTGTTTTATTATTAATAATAGGTTCTGAGGGTAGAGCGCATATTTAGTTGTCATAACTTATAATTAGAATATGTTGCTCGCATAACATTCTTCTATGTTTTATAACTTGGGTAATCCATGTCTGAAGGTACAGTGTAACGTAAACCTAGATTCTTGAGAGGGAAGTATATGGCCGTTAGATGAGTTTATTTGAAACCGTCGGATAGGTTTATTAAAGCTTGACGTGTTTTATATTATAGATATCCTATTGATTGGTGCCTATTCATCTGAGGAATAGATATGGTTACTATTCTACAATAGACAAGTCTCATACAATTACTATCAATTATTCTTTTATCACGTAGCAGCTGTAATAGAATGTCGAATTATTTGAAGCCACTTAATTGGGTGAATTTCTTTTTGGCCCATGATTTGAGTTGTCCACAAGATCCTACATAGTTCACTCAACATTTCGAAGACTATGAAAAAATCACCTTCACTTTTATCTAAAATAGTCACATTTGTGAATCTTGTTTGTGGTATTTATGGTCACTGATCATGGCAAATTCTGTTCCTGTCCAAACTAGGTGGCAACAGGCATGGTTTGACTGCCAGACATAATCAATGATCACCATTGGCTTCCAATGCTTGTGATACAGTATGGGGAAGTATTTTTTGATCTTTGTTGCCCATGGAGTCCGGTCCCAATGGGGAATCAAACCTTGCATTACCACTTGGAACTTGCCGCTTCCAGCAAAGAACTTTCTGCAACCATCTAAACAACGCCTGATAATGATATCCATGGATGCAGAAATGTTATAGGTCTAGCCTTTCATTTTGTTCAACATCAATTGACTCTATTAGCCTTTTGGGTTCAATAGTATGGAATGTCTCTTTGCTCTATGCTTTCACTCAGTTCAATTTCCTCAATTATGGCTGCTATTTGATTAGTTATTTACTCAATTCTTTTTTGGGATACATTGTTTTCCTGCCCCCTAAAAAAATAGAAAATTTCTTACTAGCGTTGATAATTCAGTATTGCCCCAACTTGATTTCCTTGCCAGATGGGCTGCAGTCACTCGAAACACTGCGAATTGAAGAATGTCCACATTTGGAGAGGCGATGCGAGAAAGAGAAAGGAGAGGACTGGCCAAAGATAGCTCATGTTTGTCGGATTTGGATTAATTTTCGGGAAATACAATCCTTGATCCCACATGACTAAAATGCATCTGACAGAGCAACCTTGATTCATATGGTTGTGGTACCCAGCACCTTGTCGAGCAGGCAGATTAAAACTTTAGAAGGTAAATTTCTCTCACTTCCTTCTTGATGTTTTTATTTCTCCCGGCAATTGCTCCTGCTCTTTAGAGTAACTGGATCATAATTCCTTTTATGCATATAGTTTTTGGATAAGTTTATACGGAAAAACAATTTTTTTTGGGGGTCAAGTTATAAATTTTTAAGGTATTTGAGATCGATGATCCCATTATATTATAGCGCTCCTGAACTCCCCCAAAGCATTGTAACTTGACCTAAAATATGATTGATCCTATTTCAGTAATATACCTCCTTCCTTTGATACCTAAGCCAAACCCATTGTTTGTTTGTCGCTGGATGCGTGAATAGTTGTAGGGAAGCCGGACAAACCAAAGAAGTTAATTTTTTCCCAATATTCTAGAATTCAATTGTTTTGATATTTTCTGTATCAATATTCTGGCTCAGGTTGCCAGATTCTGGTGAGAGAGGGTAAATTTTTGTACCTCCATGGGATTAGTTGGACTTGGAGAAACAGTGGCAGCTATGTAGTTACAATTAGGTACTCTTGATTGATGCATTTGAGGCTACTTGAGGGTAGATCTTCATCGCGAAATGCATTGATTGATTGATTGCTGCTTCAACATAAAATTGCTGAAAAGTTGTTTCAAAAATGCTGTTGTATTTGATACAGTTGTGAATCAATCAAACTTATTCTATAAGCATGTCCATGTCTATCTATTTGTATTAATTTACGTTTGTGCAAGAAAGGAAAATAAGCACTTGCCGAAACTGTTGGTGCAAGACAAAGATATTAAGAATTTGAGCTATATTTATGCAAAGACAAGTGCTAATAGTATTGTAATCCCCAAAACATAGCAGTTGGCAGTTTTTGGTGTAAAATGTATTACATCAAATTGAGTTGGCATTTTTTTATCTCGTAAAAAAAAAACACAATTAACATAAAAGTATTGTGATCCAAAAAACTTAAAAGCATTCCTGCATAAAGAATTCCTCTTATAAAAAGCCTACGAGATTATTCACTCTATTTTTCACAAAAACATAACTCTAAATTACAAAGCTCGGTGTTAGTGTCTTGCCCAAACGTAAGTTCTCTTTCTCTCTCTCTCTTTCTCCTCTCTCTTACACACTTTTTTTCTATTCTTTTCATTTTTAGGAAACTCGGCGGATTTACATCGGGGCAATGGGGACAACCGCCTTAGTGTAATTTAAAAATTTTTTTGGATAGTTTAGAAATTTTTGTAAATTTATAATTTTTAAAAATTTGTCCCCACTTAAAATTTCTATTAACTAGTTGCTGCACATTTACGTTGCACATGTATCATTTTGAGTAAAATATATTTTGTTAAAACCAGGGACCATTTTTCACGAAATCTACTTATTTAGTAAACGTTGATAATTTATAAATGAAGGACCACATCTATAATGAAAAATACCAATGTAACATTGAATAGAATAGTTGGAGAAAATGCATTCTTTATTTCTTGTCATTTCCTAGTCCTCAACATGTTTCAAACATAGACCTCTAGTGATAACAATAACGTGCATTTTCGAGATCTGGGCATTCCAATGTTGGTTTCATATATTGAGAGTTACCAAGTATATCTACAAACAAAAAAAAATAATTGACAAAAAAAGCCTCTTAGTAGACAATGAATGACCACGTAAATCTGATATGTAGTTATCATCGACACTATTAGTTCTGGAGTAAACAAGAAATCCAACAATAGCTATTGGTTAGACATAATGAAAAAAACAAGTAATGTTCATATCTTCTAATTATTAGTAATTTGGAAAAAAGATCCATGAGGAAGAGGAAAAGAAAAAGAAATATAAAATATATAAACAAAGTTCAGTTAATTTTCATTTATCCAAATCGAAAGCCTAGATGGGAAAAAAATTTATGGAAGCCTATATGCACATGAGGACTATACAAAGACAATAACACCCAATTACTAATTGCCATGAGAAAAATTTAATTAAATTACATGAGAATAGAGAATGACATGAGAAAGCAAAACAAAAACTTTGNGGCATGAGAAAAAATTAATTAAATTACATGAGAATAGAGAATGACATGAGAAAGCAAAACAAAAACTTTGCAACGTCCGCTACACGCAAAGGCTGAGTCTGACCAAAGTTAAAGAACCACCCTCATGTCGACTAAAATTAATCTGCTAAGCTATGTGAAAGAAGTAATGTTAAACAATAGTCCTAAAAAAGTAATATGCAAAGCAATAGACAATTTATAGGAGTGACTATATCTAATATGGCAGAATAGTAGTGAAAAGGAGGCTCACAAGAAAGATTTTAGCACTTACATGATTCCAATAGTTCTTCAATCCAACAAGCATTTGTAAAATCAAATATTAAAGTACAAAAAAAACTGATTTTGTTTATAGAGTTTTTTTGTGTGTGATCAACATGGAAAAGAGAGCATGAAAAAAGGAAGAGGCGTTGAAATTGCTGCCATTACATTTGCAACTATTATAATTACAGTACCAAATTGCAAAAGTAACTTGGTGACTATAGAGGTGCCCTAAGATAGAGAAGGGGTTGCGGAAGCTAAGAGGTTACATATAGATACTTTAATGGATAGTGAGACATTAAAAGTCACTCAAATAAATAAATGTATTTTATAATGAATACTTATTCAAGTGTCTGGTAGTTTGGATATTTAAGAGTTGCTAGAGAGTAAAAGAGGGAAANACTTTGATTTTACTTGTATAAATTAGAATTAGTGTGATCATTATGGAGCAGCTATTCTTGTGAAGGAACAAAAAAATATCTATTGTAACTCTTGGTGGGGTGTCTGCAATCTAAGTTCTCTATCATTTTATTTTGTTTCATTTTTTGTGAAAAAATTACGTAGAAATGTGGAATACCTCTGCATGTTAGGCTGGCAATGGTATTCCAAGGATTCACATGGTTCTCCATGTGCTTAACAGTGACTCTTAGAAGGCCTAGATATTTTTTGAAGCATTACCCTTATTATTGAATTCTACATTAGCAATTATGGTTTCAATAATTGATGAGAACGAATATGCGTGTTTATCTAAATTTGGTTTGGAATTTGTTCATGGTGGTTTAATTTGAAAGATAATGAGGATTAAATTTGCCAATTCAAATTCTAGCATCTAGGAATATTGCCAATTCACATCACCCACCCATCCACCCACATACACACACTGCTCACCCATCCACACACGCACATTGCACATGAAGTGTTCCTCAAAATGCCTAAGAAAAATATTGCCCCAAATGAACACCTAAAAATTAAAACCCCTGAAAATGTGCGTGTGTGATGATGAATTTATAGTGAGGACATCATTTCCACTAAGATTATAGAAATTCCTATTTATTTGTTACAAAATCGACCATAGATCAATTTTCCCTTTTATTTGGGAATATTGAATACACACCCAATTTTGAGTTTCATGTTACTCCTCTCAGCATAGTATCAGGATAATTGCTATAATGTGACCATTGTCCTCATTTCCACTAAGATTATGCATAGTATCTATGTAATGGCTATAAGATGGTCATGCAATAAATTATTACCTTTTGCTACAATATGATTTGGAG